TAGTACTGTGAGATGGACACCCATGGCTTTGTTGTTGGTGGTGTTTACTCCTTCCTCTTCCTTGTGTCATTTCACTTGGCTCTTCATTCAGCTGATGACAACTTGGAACAGTCGTGTCTTCCATTCGACTGTGGGAACAGTGTCTTCTCCAACGCTATCCACCCGGATTGCGGACTGATGAGCACCATACATATAGAATGTCCAGATGGCAGACCCACGATCCTATTAGGCTTCTGCGAAGGAGCAAGATCTTACCAAGTTCAATCCATTTTTGGTGATAATAACACAATTGTGATACGTGATTCCTCACTCCATCGCAGCTTGGAATCTGGCTTCTGTGATGACAAAGAATTTCTCATCATCCACTTTCAATTCTCTCTCCTTTAGAGTAATTTCTCCCAATATTACTTTGTTCAGTTGCAAACGTGAAGATCATCATGATCAGTTTCAGTCCCCACATCTCCCTGGGTTTCATCAGTACCCACATTGCCGAGACCATGATCTATTCTTCGGTAATTACAAATCGGAAGAGAGTCTGCCGTCTATTCCAGATAGATGTTCGGTCTACCAAATTCCCGTGCGTGAACCACTGGATGCGGATGACCGGCTCCTGCCACACTTGGAGGCCGGGTTTTCTCTTCAATTGGAATTCCCCCCGCAATGTAACAAGTTTGACAGGAAAGAACTCCGTTGTGTTAGACAACATCAAAATGGAACCTTGACATGTCCAAGTTCAACTACAGGTACAAAACATACAACTTGGAATTTGGGAACAAAAATTTACTTTCTTCATCTTTTTCACTTTGCTTTCTACGTAAATATGTTTTTCATCATCACCCATTCTGGATTATCAGATATCATATCTTTTTCTTTGCTAAATCTAATTTTGCCATATGTACACCAGCCTTTCGCCCATTCTAGTACAAAGTTGTTGGGGTACCCACTTCCTACTTCCTAGGTCAGATACTTATTGCAGAGATATTTGTAATGCAAATATTTTGATCTACTTTTATAAATTCGTTTGGCATAGACTTTTCTGTTGTTTTTTTTCTTTTTTTTTTTTTAATCAACTCTTTGAATATGTTAACTATGATGTTTGTGTGTACAGTTGGTATGGCTCCATTTCGCAGGGCGATGGCTGAAAATTCAAAAGCACTCTGCCTCTGGTCTTATGGCAGAGTCAAGCCAAATCCAAAGAGACCCCCCTCTCTCATCTCAATCGGTTCATCCGTAACTCCCTTCAGACTTTCATGAGATTTCCCACTCCATCCTTGGTGTCAGGATCTAACGTTCTCCGTTCAGAGTAACGGTATGTTTTCCTTTCGCTTATTCTTGTTCTTCTTCGTCTTATCGATGGAAACAGTTTTTGCGTTGACCCAAAATTCGGAACTTGCAAGCCTCAAATCTGCGGGAACCAGAGCATAAACTATCCATTCTGGATCAATGACAAATTTAAGGAGTGCGGCTACCCAGGTTTTGAGCTTTCCTGCCCCAACCTTGTTCATTAGTAGTGATGAGACGCAATTCGGCTCCTTCTAACTGGCGATGACTTAGCTTCCACTAGACGATGGACCTGATTAATCTGCATAAGGAGAATCAAAGAACCCGGGGAGCTTGTCCGGCGAGGTCACTTGATGCTTAAGTTAGTATCTGGTTGCGAGCTGATGAGAGCTTAAGAAAGCAAGAGAGCTAGAGAGCAGAGATTACGCGTACCTTCGCCCCTGGAGGGTTGGGGTCTTTATATACTGGAGTCCTTGCGGGTCTTTCGGAGTGGTTCCAAGATCCTTGCTATGATGAGGCCCGTTTCCGTATTAACAGGAGATAACGCCGCTAGCCGATAAGGCTTATCACTGCCACCCGAATAGGACGGGGAGATAGTGCTAGCAGTTACGAGGCGTGATCCCGAAAAGCACGGGATCCGGTGGCGAGATCTTCTGGGTTGCCATGTGGAGGTCAACCTGACCGGGTAGTGAGTTGCCTGTGAAGTTCCGAGCTGCTTGGTGGCGAGCTGCCTGAGCTCGTGTTCCACAGACTTGATTTGCTCTGAATGCCGAAGTGCCTTAGTACCAAGGTGATCTTGCACCGAGGTGGCCTATCTCCGAGGTAGTTCATCTATCCGAGCTCGATGTGTAACAGACTTGTTCCTTATCCTGGTCATGATCTGGTAACTCGAATTAGCTTCGGTTCGGGGTAACAGGGTACCCGAGGTCGCTCTGTAGCGAACTGATCACGCTGATCTATCACTCGTGTTGGGTCACGTCCACGTGCCGATCTGATTGTGCTGAGTTGTCACTTATGTCGAGTCATGTCCACGTGTCTCCCTATTACGAAGTTGGGCCAAATCACCGTTCATCAATTGCCCCCACCCCCCGAGCTAGGGGTCTTGACCTGGTGCAGGGAGTTCATGACGAGCCAAGTGGATTTGGTCCGAAGTTCAAGCAACTAGTCAGATGAGTCACCGGTCGGATTTATTCGACCACACGGCTCGACCAGAAAAACCCAGGTCGTGTCTGTATATGCGTGGATGCCACGGGGTTTATAAATTCCGCGGACGTCAAAAAACACGCTAAACCGATTTCGGCCTCGGGGATCGCGTAGCTGGTTTCTCTAGGAGCTGTCGGATCAATTCAATCTCGACCGTTGGCTTTTCTGGCAGAATAGACCTTCTCAACCAAATCACCATGTAGAAAGGCATTATGAACATCAAATTGATGAAATTCCCACCCTCAAATTGCAGTAATAGAGAGAAGGCATCGTAGGGTAACTAACTTTGCTAGAGAAGCATGAGTGTCATGATAATAATACCCCTTAACCTGAGTATATCCTTTGGCAATGAAACGAGCTTTATATCGTTCAATAGAATCATAGGCATTGCACTAGAGTTTATAGAACCATTTAGAACCAATCTGCCACTTCTTAGGAGGAAGATAAACTATGGACCATGTCTTATTTCTTTCAAGAGCTGTAACTTCTTCACCCATTGCCTTACACCAATTTGGGTCAAAGGCCGCTTGAGAGTAAGATGTGGGTTCGGAAATAGGAAGTGTAATATGGGATGCAGAATGACAAACATAATCCTGGTGTGTTCTAGAGGTTTTCAAATGCGTTGGGGCCGCATAGTAGTGGGTTCAATGCTAGTGGATTGGGTAATGAACTCAGTTCCATGATGAGATATAACCTTAGTTGAATCAGAACCATTGTTGGGATCAGTTATGTACATAGGTATGGTATTGGGCTCAATCAAATTTTTGGGCTCAGTGGGCTCTATGAATATATCATCAACTGAATCAACAACATGGGGTCTACATGATTATTTGTATTTGTAGCATGTAGGAGAGCAACAATCCCAATATTAGCATAAGGTAACATAGTTTCATAGAAGGTAACATCTCTAGACGTGAATACATGTCCTGTGGCTAAATCATACACTTTATAGCCTTTTTGGCCATATAGATATCCCATAAACACACAACTGGATGCATGGGGTGAAAATTTTTCATGGGATAGTGGTCGTTCTTAAGCATAACACAAGCATCCAGATGTACCCAAGTGGCTGTAATTGGGGGGCTTACCAAATAGGACCTCGAATGGTGTCTTTCCATATAAAGGGACTACTGGTAAATAGTTAATCATATAAGTAGATGTGAGAGCACATTCCCCCCAGAATGATAACAGGAGAGAAGCTTGAAATCCTAATGCACATGCCATTTCTAACAAATGTTGGTGTTTTTGTTTTTTTTTCAACGATCCCATTTTGTTGTGGTGTATCTACACAGGACTGTTGATAAATTTTGCCACTCTTGGAAAAATTGTTGTGTTGGATTAGACAGAACTTCACGATTGTTATCAGATCGAACCGACTGAACCATACATTAGAACTGAGTGTAGACCATATTACAAAACGATGTTCGAAAATGGTAGGTTTCAAACTTATATTTCATGAGGTACAATCATGTACATCTACTATAATTGTCCACTGTCATTAGAAAATAATGAGCACCAGATAGAGACGGGGTATGATATGCCCCCTAAATGTCACAGTGGGTCAAAGCAAATGGTGCTTCTACTCTAAATGAGCTTATTGGAAATAGGATGCTTGTGTTTAGCACATTTTCATACATCACAAACATGATCAGAAGATGATGAAAAATGACCATTCGACAACAAAGAAAGTTGACGAGGTGAGGCATGGCCTAGTCGGTTGTGCCATGTAAAGTAGTCATCTGTTGTACTAAGAGAAAACACTTGTTTGGAGGATTTAGGAACAAATTAAATATAATAAATCCCATTAAGAAATTTTCCCTTGTTGATCTGCGTCCTCAAGTCTTGGCCCTGTAGAATGCAACAAGTAGGAAGGAACACAACAATGGAATTCGATTTAAAAGTGACTTTATTGATTTATAGCAAATTATGACAGAAGTTAGGGACATAAAGAACCTCTTGACCAGAGTATTTGGGACCATTACAGCCACACTCTTATTGGGTGGCCATCAAGGAAGAACCATTCAGCAAGTAAACTAAGGACAAAACTAGTAGAGGCTCACAATTAACCAGTAAGGACTGGCTATAGGTCATGTGGTCAGATACTCCACTATCTAAAATCCATGAAGATGTAGTTGATGAAAGAAAAGCCTTACCAGACATGGTGGTGCAAGCGTGATGTGTACCGGTAGTGAGGAGGTGCAGAAGTTGCGCATACTGATCAGAGGTTAAGCCAACAACTGGAGAAGTCTGTATCAGAGGTTAAGGAATAGGCATGATTCAAACTAGGAAGATGATCACTTGCTAAAATGTTGGATCCGACATTATTAAAAACATCATTTAAGCCCATCAAAAATTGATGGAGCTTATCCTTTTCATGTTCAACAACTAGCTCTTTACGTCACCACAGGTATAGTCTAGAATTGTAGAGAGGTTTGCTAGTTCTTCCTACAATCCTTTCATTTTGGTAAAGTATGAAGCAATTGAGAGATTGCCTTAATGCAAAAGAGATATTTCTCTTTTTAGCTAGTAGACTCATGGAGCATTAGCTTGAGAAAAACATTCCTTGATATCTCTCCAAATTTCTCTGGTTGTATCAGCATAGACCACACTCTCGTGGAGTTCATGATCTAAGGAATTGAACAGCCAGGAGATGACCATGGACATTTTGTCCATGTTTTCTCCTCAGTTGTGGATCAATCTGGTTTTTCAAGCATGCCATTTACAAAACTGAATTTATTATTGGCGTGTAAGGCATTCCTTGTCGCACGCTGCCATGTGAAGTAATTCTCTCCAGTGAGTGGAGATGACACCAATATAGCCTCGGGATTATCCGAGGGATGGATGTAATAAGGTGAGGCCAGATCAAGATTTGTAGTCATCAACAAAACTGTTTTAACAATGAGTTCTATCAAGAAACTCTGTAAATTCTGTCAAGAAACAGAGCAGTCTTCAACAACGGGCTCTATTAAGAAAYTGTAAATTTTGTCAAAACAGAGTAGTCTTCAACAACGAGCTCTGTCAATAATTGTTACTATTGTAGCAAATCTATAAATCTGGCATCAATAAATATTGATGACGGTGGAAACAATCTTGACCGGAAGTAATCAGCAATGATAACCACCGAACAACGAACTTACGCAGTGAGAAGTAATACAGGGTCAGACGTCAGGGCTCATCCCGTTTTTTCTAGGCAATGAAGCTCATCACACTTGTTTTGCCATGCAAAAATGGATGGGTAAATTCATTTCTAAACATAGAACAACTGCTTGCAAATTATCAAAAGAATCTAGTGCCACACATCTAAAACATGATGCAGTACTGGGATTCAGACCAACTGAGTAAATATTTACAAAGTTGGTTTTCGAAGACCCATTTTATTACATATAGGGAAAATGATGATAAAGTATAGGAAAAGGCCGATAAGTTTTATGCAAGTTGAGACCATTCCAAGACACATAAGAAGCAAAAATGATGCCACCGACCCAACTTAGTAAATATTTACTGAGATAGCATCAATACAAGAATTCTATCTTAGTACGTTTTTACCAATTGAATTTATATTCAATTAGGACTTTCCTTTTGAAGGATTTTAGTAGGATTCTATTTTGGAGTATTTTTTTAGATTAGGATTTTATTTTTTAAAGAATTTTAGTAGGATTCTATTATGTAATGTTTTCAAATTAGGATTAGGAGACATAAGGGTGTATGCCTATATAAAGAGTAGGTAGGAAAAGGCTAAGACAGTTCTCTTGTTATCAATTTTTTCTTAATTGTTTAATAAAGAATTCTTCTTCCTAAAAATTGACTTCTGCTCTTTTCTTTGAAGCTTTTCTCATATATTTCGTTTCCATTCTGCATCAAAACAAATCCTATTTTTTTATGTTCACACCAAACACATAAAAATTGATTTCATTTTGTTTGTGACCTAATTTACTAGCTAATGTTTACACCAAACCACTCTCTGATCAATTTCAATTTCTTAGTAGCAAGCTAATTACACTAATGTCCTCCCCGATCAGTTAGAGAGGGGTTGTTAGAGATAATGACCATGAAGACAGCACACGTTGTGAACCAATGCATATGCTTTACATGCGCCCATGCATGAATCCAAGTCTAAAGAAGAAATTAGGCTCCTCCTTCCTCCTATGATCGTTCTACTCGAGGAAACTAAGCTCAATCAAATCCGAGAGCTTCCTCAAAAATAATACTACCAATCTGGAGTGATAACCACTAATTTTAGATAGGAGATTATTTGTATATATTTTTCTCTTTTTTTTGTTGAACCAGGAGGAACTATACAAAACCCGGAGGGGGTAGTTTTGCCCTAGAAATCAGTCCAACAAATTACAACTAAAGAGAAAGGAGATTATCATTACAACTTTCTCTTTTTTTTCTCATTGATAATGTAAATTGTGTATTTCCATTCTTGTAAATATTATTCTTTGAATATAAAGATGAGAGCCTAGGCCAATTTTGGCTAGGTCATTCACCTATTCTACCATTCATACTCTTTCAAAAGTAATTAGCCCCAATAACATTACTTTGTTCGGATGCAAACATGAAGATCTATTCAAACACTGAAGATTTTAGGCATCAACTTCTTGGGTTTTATCGGTTTCCACAGTGACAATACCGTGATGTATTCAGTATTCTTCAATAACAAATTGGAACAAAGACTCACAGCTATTCCAGATGGATGTTCAGTCTCAAATTTCGTGCATAATCCACTTGGTGACCTGCTCTTGCCACTCTTGGAGGCAGGTTTTATTCTTCAATATGATTTCCCCCCGCAAGGTCACCATTGTCTTAGAGAACAAAATCTCGAACCTTGACATGTCCACCTACAGGTACAAAACACAACTTGGGAATTTGAAAATAAAAACAAACTTTTTTGATCTTTTTCACTTTTATTTTGCTTTCTACATAAATACATTTTTTCATCATTCATTTCGGATTGTCGTATACCTAATTTTATGTGCTTCTTAAATCTTGTCATTTGCTTTTGTCAAAGCAGGGTGGTTTGAATCATATCATATCTAGAATATCCCGTCTATTTACTTCTCGGGGCAATTTGTTCCTTCCTTGATACCAAGGTTTTAAGTTTTTAACAACCTATATGGAAATGGAAATGGAACAACTTTGATCACCGATTTTTAGGTTAGCGGTTCAATCATTTGGGTTGAATGGTTTAAATGGTTTGACCCTTAGATTGGAATATTAGGGTAGATATATATACATATCTTTTCTTCTTTGAGAAAAGAAAGAGATAGGTGGCTGGCAGCAAAGAAACAAGAAATTAAGAAATGAAAGAAAAAAAAAAGGAAAAAATGAAAGGAAAGAAAGGAAGTAGAGATAGGAAGGAAGGAGGAGGAGGAGAAGGTGACATTCACCGATGATAATGATGGTGACGGTAATGTTCACTGGCCATGATGATGGTGAGATCTTAGTGATCTCAGTCCCCTCTTCCATCTCTCAATCTTTTTTTGTTAATAACCTTAAAAAATAAATAATTTTCTTATTAAACCACAAACCGCTACCTGGGTCAAATGGTTTAGCAGTTCAATTGTTCGAGTCAGCGGGTTTTTTGACCAATTCAACGTTTTTCTTCAAAAAAGCAGCCCAGTCCAAATTCAGACCCAAAAATATCACCGATTTTTAAGTCAAATGGTTTGACCATTTGGGTCAGTTGGTTTTTTGACCAATTCAATGTTTTTCTTCAAAAAAGTGGCCTAATCCAAAATCGGACCCAAAAACATCACTGGTTCCCAGGTCAAATGGTTCAACCATCTGGTTTGATCTGATTTTCAAACTAGTGTTTAATACATATAAGAGAGCATCGACTTCATAGATACACTTGTATAAGGGCATGTTTGTTTGCCCTAACGTTTGACATCTAAAAATGCAATAATTACATTAAGAGGTATATTGGTATTAGTAAATTTTTTTTTTCCTTTGAAGTCTGAATGTAAAGATTCTTGCTCTAAATTCTGAATTCTGAAAATTGTCTAATGTCCATTTTATTAACCCCATATATAAGAACTTTTGTTTGTGCTTTGGGGGTATCATTAGAAAACAAAAAGTAGTAAGATTCATCTTTAAGAGATAAGAGGAAACAAACACCCATTTTCCTCTTAAAGTTAGAAGATTCCTCTTAAGAAATAAGAATTAAGAGGAAATGAACAAACCATAAAACTATAAATATTTATAATTACTTTTTTTTCTTTTTATCCTTGCATTGAGTAATTACTTTTTTTTTTGTTTTTTTTTTAATTTTCAGAAAGAAAGAAAAGATGGATATTAAGGGTTGCACTAGGTATGAGCGCTGCATTTATAGTTGGATCCTTCCTTCTAATGTGCATCATCCTTTTCCAGAAGAAAATTATCAGGTTTGACCCAGTGGAAAGAAAAGGTATAAATATTCACATGAAAATTAATGGAGATATAGAGGCCTTTTTTAGGAATTCTGAATCCCTTGCCCCAAAAAGATATAGTTATTCACAGGTCAAGAAAATGACCAACTGCTTCAAAGATAAATTAGGGCAAGGAGGCTATGCTTGTGTTTACAGAGGGAAGCTATTTGATGGCCAGCTTGTGGCAGTGAAGGTTTTGAGTGAGTCCAAAGGAAATGGAGAAGAATTCATTAATGAAGTTGCAAGCATTAGTAGAACCTCCCATGTTAACATTGTCACTCTCCTTGGTTTCTGCTTTGAGGGGAACAAACGAGCTCTTATTTATGAATTCATGACCAATGGATCTCTTGAAAATTTCATATATAATAGGAAGTTTTCAGAGACAAATCATCAACTTGGTTGGGCAAGACTCTATCAAATTGCAATAGGCATTGCTCGAGGGCTGGAGTACCTACACCGTGGTTGCAAAACTCGCATTCTACATTTTGACATAAAGCCACATAACATTCTTCTAGACCACGACTTCTCCCCAAAGATAGCTGATTTCGGCCTTGCTAAACTATGCCCTAATCAAAAAGAAAGTATCATATCAATGCAGGGTGCTAGAGGGACTGCTGGTTATATTGCACCAGAAATATTCTGTAGAAACTTTGGAGGAGTCTCACACAAGGCAGATGTTTATAGCTATGGAATGATGGTTCTGGAAATGGTTGGTGGAAGAAAGAACATTGATGTGGGTGCTGAGAATACCAGTGAAATATACTTCCCCCACTGGATATATAAGCGTCTCAGGTTAGATGAGGATCTAGGGTTATGTGGGGACATAACTGAAGAAGAAGAAGAAATTGCAAGGAAGATGAGTATAGTAGGTTTGTGGTGTATCCAGACTGATCCTTCAAGTCGGCCTTCAATGGGTAAGGTTGTGGAGATGTTAGAAGGAAGTCTTAATTCCTTGCAAATTCCACCCAAGCCTTTTCTGTCTTCTCCTTCAAGAGCAAGATCAACCTCACCTGGTGGTTCCCCTGAAAGAGAAGAGAGGTGTTCCATGAGGTAAATATCTACTTTTTTTATCATCTTGAAATGTTGAACAAGGTTGGGGCAGGTATTCCATCCTAGAGCAATTCAACTTAACCCGACAGTTTGGATATATTCAACCAAGGTGACAAACGCAAAATCCTTAAAATCAGATGAGTTCCCATAAATGTGTTTGTTGGCTGGATCAAGAATTGCAATACTTTGGCTGGGAGGAATTTCCTTATTGGTTGAATAATCTATCGACTGGTACTCCAGACTTCAAAGTGAGAACCAACATTCTGACATATTTACCAAAGAATGTTAAAAAAATAGATAGGATCTAATCTTTGCTTAGTTAAGTTGAATTAGAATATTATTCCCTAAAAATAGGATTGAATGGATCTAAAAATCTTGCTTAGTTAAGTTGAAGTTTGATTTGCTTGAATATTAGACCCTTTTTTAGTTTTCATTCAGGATTTTTTTTTTCATCAGCCCTTTTTCAGAATTTTAATTTGAAGTCCCTAGGATTAAGTGGAATTTGGCAATTAGATAAGACTATTTTTGCCTATTCACAATATAGATTCTTATTTCATATTTAATATTATAGATTTATGCTACTTTTTTTTAAAGGTCTCGTGGGTTGTGAATTGAGTCAGATTTTTTTAAAACAAAATATAGATATAGCATTACTATTTGATGGAGAAAACAAAAGGATGTTCATCGGTTCTTATTAGAGAATGTAAATCACAGCCTTGGATTTGCGCGGGCTAATACGGTGTATCGGAGCCCTTGATGTATTGATGTGGCCCCACCTTGAATTGAATGACGTAACGTTGAAATGGGGCCACAGCAATACATAAAAGGCTGTGATTTGGGGGTTTTAGCCCCGCCCAGTGTTACAGCTTATTCCTCGATCCAGCTAAAATAAAAGCCTTACCTAACCAAGTAACCAGCAGTTAACTTCCATATAAATTGTTGGGCATCTACAAGATCAAGCCACATTTGTTACTAAATTTGTCCTAGCGTTGCATATATGTGCCGAAACATAATGGAACCAAGGGCCTAAGGCCTTTGTTGTATTTTTCTTTTTTTTTTAAGTTAAAACATTTCATTCATTTAAGAGATTGATACAACGTTAATTAAAGTTGAAATACAAATCTCAAGAAATAACAAAATAAAGAGATGGAAGTAGGAGAATCGAAAGAACTTCTGCAACCAAATTAAGGTGACTTAAAATCATCAACAGAAGTGGATAAGTACCTCCAAACCATCATAACTGATGAGCATAATTGACAAGGGAGGTTTCCAAAGCCATAGGCCATGATCTGTAACTTCCACCCATTTCGAACCAATCCGCAAAAGACGCAAGATCTGTAACTGCCAACCAACACACCGGATAACTGTCCACTGTTACATTCCATCCAAAAAAATGTCGGAGAACTGAAACATCCATCTACAATGCTGGAAAATTGTAACTACCATCCGAATTGCCGGAGAACTATAACTGCCGTCCCAGACACCGGAGAACTGTAACTGTCTTCCAAAAAGCTAGAGACGGCAATGCAAGTGGCAACTTCCACCGGTGGTTAACATAGAAAGGAAAAGGAAATGAACCTTGAGAGATCTTGATACTCCCTTGAAACAGAGAGAGAGAAAAAAAAAGGGGGGTGGGGGGTAACTACCTACGGGTGAAGATCAGAGAGCAGTGGTTTCGTAGAACCCCAATCAATTGTCCTTGCCTTGTTTGTTTGAAACAAGGACTAATGACAGGCCATTGTTGTATTATTATAGTTCCACTTTGAATTACTTTATGCAGAAGAGCGAATGCCTCTTCTTTTTGGAAATTTTATTGAACATTTTTTATCATTTTTGTCTAAAACAGACAATAGACATAAAAAAAGTATATATATCCTTTACACTTATTTTAGAAATTGTACCCAGTTGAGAAATTGCCCATAAATTATAAATAGTTTATCTTAAAAATACTATCAAATACATATTTACTAATATATATCTAACACTGTAATTAATTCTGGATTTTTAGCCATGCGCCCATGCACTACACCACAACATCGTCATAGGCTCGTAGAAAAAGTGAAACTCCACAAAATAGCTGCCTTGAGTCCTTTCCATCACTCTCCTATTTTCTGCTTAAAGGCTATCAGAGACGTTGCATGGAGATGCTACAGTAGAAAATAAATTGATTATTATGTTATAACATTATATAACCTGATCAAGCTGCAATTGTATACCATCGGTAAAAAGTTTTAAATACTGTTGACTAATTGATCCAAAAGTAATTGAAATCATCTTCAATCTTGTAACATACCATTATCATTGCTTTCTACAACAGAGAATTGAGTTAGATTTGAATTGGACATGATGAATCCATATTAGCATCTCCCCAGTAGTCTAACATGGCTAACCAGTCAACCACTCTGTCGGCTTCCTTGAATACGTGCTTGAATTGGATTCTTTTACTGCTTGTGCTTGATGTACGCACTCAGGTTCAGGTACAAGATATCTTGGATAATATTTCCACCTTGCCCTCTCCATTTATGCAATCAATCATTCCTGATTTTTATCGAATCAGCAGACCTAAATGTGGTATTCGAATCCGATCGGATCTATTTGCAGATCAAAAGTTAATTGTGTGCCCTCAATATATAGTCTCTAACAAGTGAAATAAGATAGTTGGACGCAATGGTTTAGGTGTTGTTACAATCCACATGACCCTTTTTAGTCTTTTACCATATAATTTTTTGTATTTCTGATATCATTTTCATGTATTTCTGATATGATGCTCATCAAGTAACCAAATGTCTGCTCACGATGATATTTTTAAATGGATAGCAAATAACGTATTCAAATTTTCAATGACAGCATATAATATATCAAAAATACATGAAAAGACTTTTATTTTTTGCACCATATAATGTTTAACTGACAATAATAATGAATAGGCCCAAAGCCCTGTTCGCATTTCGATACGTTACTTATTCGGGTAAATGCATTTATCTAGTTAATTGTTTCTCAGGAAAGATTTACACAGGTAAATGCATTTACCCATATTTTTTTATTTCCCATGTAAGTAAGGCAATGACCATTTTATCATGGTTTTTAAAACTGGACCGGACCGGATGGTCAGACCTGAAGGGTAACTGGTTCCGTTTTTTCAGAAAATCGAATTTTTCCTAAAAATCATTGATTTTGTTCAACAAACCGCTGACCCGGGCGATTAACCGTTTGAACAGTTTTGACCTTTTTTAATTTATTAATTTTTATAACTTTTTTATTTTTTTGTTAGAATGAGCCAACCATTCTGTTCAAACGATCAGACTGTTTGACCTGGGACCCGGACCCCTGACCGGTTCATTCTCCGGGTCCATTTAAAAAACTTTGCATTTCATCCACAAAAATCCATTATTACAAGGGACATTTTTGTCCCTTCAAGTGTTGGCAACTGTAACCCAAGATGAGAAAGTTATTTACCCACCTAGGAAATGGGCATCACTTATGATATCTAAGAAAATAAACTTTCCTTGATGGCCAAGTAAGTCTGACAAAAGAATATGAGATATCTTGCAATGGGAATCAAAATCTGATTGACCAACTTAAACCCTTTCAAAATCCAGGAAAAGAACGCCCCCCAAATGTAAAGGTCAATTGAATGTTCAGGGTACACAGAATACCTATCTGTAATTTACCCTTCTTCCAATGCTATTTCCTGGAAGATTTGGTGCCGTTTAAGATGTTGTTTCGGCTTTTCATGTGAAATTGTGAAGTGAGGAGATGGCTTCTGCCTCCTTATCCTCCCTGTCCCGTGCCATTTTTGCTTTCTCGCTTCTCCTTTGTCTGTCTGGTTTTCACTCAGCCGATGAAGAAGGGTCTATGCATTGCCGACCATTCAACTGTGGGGCTCTAACCAATATCAGCTATCCATTCTCCAACGCAACCTGTCCCGAGTGCGGCTCAGCCATCATCCTATGCAAAGATGGCATACCCATGATTCAGTTCGAGATGGGGGAACACTCTACCAGGTCAAATCCATCTTCCCCAATAATAACACAATTGCAATTCAAGATCATCAACTCTATAGTAGCTTGCAGCAGGGCAATTGCGATATCCTCTACAATTTTACAGCACCTTTCTCTGATGCGCTTTCATTTGAAATAACAAGTCCAAATCTTACCCTGTTCAAATGCGTGCGCGAACTTCCATCTCTGCATCTACAACGCTACCGTGCCTTCTATAGCTACTTTCGCTGCAGAGACTACGATCTCTTCTACTATAGCAGTTCAATTTCGAAGCAGAGTCTGCCATCTGCACCAATACCTGCTCATGCACCTAGGCATATTCTGTATGGTTGTTCTGTCTATCAGTTTCCAGTTCATGAATCATTGCCTCAATTTGATGAGAATTGGTCAACTAATCACCTCTTGAACCTCTTAGCTTTGGGGTTTTCTCTGCGATGGGATCTTCCCCCCGAGTGCAACGAGTGTGAGATCAAAGGCGTCCGTTGTTTAAAAGAACCCAATGGAGCTTTCAAATGTGAAGATCCCAAACATGGTAATATACCAAGCACAAGTAGTTCTTCCATTAAATCTAAAGAATCTTGAAACGATTACTTATGCTAGATGAAACAAAAAGCAAAACCATCTGTGTAAAAAGAAAAAAAAAAGGAACATAACACCATTTGGGTTCTCTTCCGATCTTTTGAGTTTCGCTCAACAGGGTGTTCTGATCCGAGTCGGAGCACGAACAGAATAGTCAGAACTTGCGTAGCTTTGTTTAATATAACCGAACCTGGATCTGCTCTGATTCAATCCGATAGCTGACAGACTGGTTCCACCATTGATTTTTCGTTTCATGAATGGTTGCAGGTTTAGGTTCCATGAAAGCAATTTTCGTTGTATTTTATTAAGAATTTATATTATATCTACAATCCGATCCGTTGGATACGAATAAGAATTGGATCGTGCAGGCTAAATTTGTATTTGGTGATTGAGTGAATGTAGATATATCCTTTGCACCAACATAGTTTTTTCTTTTTTTGTAAAATTCCAGCATCATAGATTTACCCTCTATAAAATTGCATGTGGCATGTTGCTTGTACTGTAGCTGTAGACCGAGAATCAAGATATATAATCAAAATATGTTTGGCTGCGATTGTTGCAGTGCAAATTTCGATCAAGTGCAAAATTTTTACCCTATTTAGTTTTGCTTTATTTGTTTGTAATTATGATGTGTATTTTTATCCCAAATAAAATTTCTACACTTTGTTTCTTTTGGATTCACTGGCCCTTGTTTAATCCTCAACAACATGT